AAAAACAGAGAAGGTAACTGTAGTTGAAAAGCCTAAAGAATCACTTGTTATATGCGAATCAGGTTTATCTTCTTGTAAGAGGACAAGCTATGCTGTATTGACAAAGAAACTAACTGCAGAGATTATGATAAAATGTATCTCCAAGGAATAATGGAGACATGATAAAATTGCAACCATCACAAAAACACAGCTTTGAAAAGATACTTACCTATATTTTAAAAAATTGGGACAAAATGAAATAATGGTTATGACTGTGCAGTGGTTTTGCATACTAATGATGTGACAGTCTTCAGGGAAAAAAATATCAAAATCGATCTGGAACGGAAATGATAATGGGATAGAATTGGAGTCTGATATGGGCTACCAGACAGGATGGCTGAAAGAAATGTCAGAACCTTGTATTTTCACTTGAACTTTCCATACATAGAAGAATGTGCTACTGATTGCTGTCAGTTCTGGCTACTTCAGCACATGAATGATGGATGTATCTATTACTAGCCAATAAACCAACACTACTGTAGTTGAGGGTGTTTTTTTGATTAGGTTTTCCACATCAGAGCTGGTAAAATACTATTTGAATGATCACCAGCCAACTCACTTTAAATCAAAGGAATTGTTTATTGTAAAAGAACAAATTTTAAAAACTTGAGAGAACTAGAGAGTTCAAGAGTTTGCAATTCCTTCAAATGATCATCAAAGGTATTAATAAATTAAAAAAGAAAGTCCATTGCACACATACTGAATATGATACTAAGATCAAAGATCCGCTAAGTATAACTCTGTAACTAAATTAATAATTGATTCACTTTTCAACAAAACAATGACAATGTCATCAAGTGTAAAATGGTTAAAGGAGAAAAAAAAGGAAACAATACAAGTGGAGCACAGCTGAAACTCCAAAGACCTTGCAGTGGCAAAAACAGTGTCTATCCTAAGATGTGCTTTGGAAGAACATAATGAACGTTGTTTATATTTAAGGAAGACAACAGGATAAGTTTCTCCAACTGCTCAGCCAGTCACCTACAGTCTCAACTTCAATAATATACTAAGTTTTAGAACAAATACAGAATAGAAAACTTCATAAACTTCATGTGTGCTTGGAAAATAGGAGAAAGCCATTGGGATTTACCAGAGTTTGCTTGTACCCAAATAACTTCACTCTTTCTTTCAATAAGTCATCTGAATTTTTCAACTAATTAGCTAGATCAAGTCCACATGTCACTCAGTAAAGAATCTAAATGAGATGAACATAGGAAACTATTAGTTAAGCAGCAAATGCTGGCAATTTGTACAAGAGTTGCCAGATGGAGTAACATATATAGCTTAAAGGGTATAAGAGGAATAATGGTGAAAAGAAAACTTTAAAATAAAGGAGTTTACTTAGAGGTGATCAGCCATGGGATTTATCAAATAGTATTATCACCAATCTTAAACATCATCACTATCAATCTAGAAATTAGGAGGTTAACAAAATTAAGGACACGAAGATGGACAGCACACTTTAACAGACCACCGACATATAAACTAAATAAGAGAAATTGTATAAACGCCTCTGAATGGCCACACAGAAAAGTCCATTTCTCCCCTTTTATTATAAAGGTACACTTGCTCCTCAAGATAAAAACTTAGGGTAGGTGGATATGTACACCAGAAACCATGACACCATCTGATGCAGCCAGAGGGAGAGCACAGGATATCTATCAGTCAGGGTACTTCCATCAAGGAAAATTATCAGTGTCAGCTTAATGTCAGCATAGAAGACTTGAAAAAGTCCTCCTGTGCAGCTCCTCGAGCCCTGGAGCACCACCTTTCCATTCAGTCAAGCCCAGGAAAAGTGAGTTCAAACTGGGAGAGGGCCTGATGGTCCCAGTAACAATGGTTAGAGGGATAGTCTCTCAGCAGTGAAGAGCATAAAAGAGTTTAGATAGTTTAGCTTAGAAAAGAGAGAGCAAGAGAGGACAGGGAAGAATGTAAGGCACAGTCACTGAACACAAATCTGTCTCAGAAGCAAAAGGAACAAAACTAACAGAGTAAAGAAGTTCTTTGTGTAAATTAGAATTAAACTGAGTAATGCAGAAATGAGACATCAGGATACTCTTGGTAAGCTTTACATTAAATGTCTCATTTAATGTAAGCAAAAAATAATCAAGAAACTCTCCTTTTCCCTTTGAAATCAGTTGTAACAAAGAAACAACTGACCTTAAAAGGATAGAATATACTTATATCTATCCTATCTGTGTATGTCCTAAGATGGCCCAGGCCTAAGAAAGCCGAGTTTCAACCTGCAGAATTAAAGTTGGACTCTCTGTACTGATATAGGCAGTCACATTTCATTATACACATTATACTATTGAAATAGATTCAGAAACTGTATTTCATGGCATCATTTAATTTTACAGAAGCAATTTCCTTGTAAGCAAAATCTTAACAATATTTCAGTATGCAGAACAAAAGTATCTTGCAGATAGATGCAAAGGCATCAGTACTGATCAATTTCAATGTAAGTTAAAATGTAAGGGAGTGCTGTTATATTGCATTTCCTCAGTTTATAAATCTGTCTACCACTTCTTGCCAAACACCACCTTCAGCAGAGACAAGCTTGACCATTTGCCTGTCGAATATTACACCTCTTCCCTAACAAGAGTATCCAAAAAAAGACTGTGAAACTTAAACATATGGGGAAGAGGAAGGGCTAATGAATGAAAATTGCAAGAGTTTGCAACACTCTTAGTGATGAAAATGATAATTGCATTTAAAATGTGAGTAGGCAATGCAGAATGTAACAACAAATCATTTTTGCAAGAATTATGGGACATGGAAAACACAATCCAAGTCCAAATAACTGATGAGCCCAGGGCAGATATTGCACTTTCTCCTTAGTTTGTTCTTTTTTTTGATCGTCAAATCCCACAGTCTATCTGCACAAAACAGTGAGGATTTCCCCAGCATGGTTCTCTGCTGTTTATCCTTACATGGAGGTACACACAGGTTTTCTGCAACATTTTTTTACCTTTGGTATGAACCAAGAGCATATTCCAGAATTTCTATATTCAGGATAATACACTGAATTCTGTCTTCACATTATCCTCCAGATCTAAACACTCCCAAAATAATGCAAGAGCATCATGACCCGCTCCAAGCTTACTAGTAATGTGTTGCTCCCCTGTTTTCTATGCTTTACAGGCACAACACCACAATCAGAAGTTTTAACCCACTTAATTCATCACATTTCTTATTTTTAAAGTACACCACATAATTTTTCATCCTTAGTAGAGAAGAAAACAAATATTAATATCCTTCTCCACTACAGAGTTTTTTGGAACACAAATGTCAGATTTACCATATGCATGCATGTGTACTTCCACAAAGGTGAACATATAGACTGTTTTACAGTGTACATTAAAGAAAAGCTTCAAATTCCTCTTATTCCACTAGAAAACTTTACAAACATGCACTTCTGGTGGAATTTTAATACATTTTCATCCTAGCAGATTTTCTCACAGGAAAATCTGATCAGAATATATGTATAATAAATCTTGCAGTATCAGGAAGATCAAGTTTTATTTGGTTTATTACTAAGCATATGGAATTGGTGTCACATGAGGGCATGATATTCTAAAGAGTTTCTAATTTCTAAAGATAAATATAAAAAGTGCACATCTGCAAAATTGGTAAGCGTATATTTTGAAGCCACAGTCTATGCCACATCTGACAGAAATGGAGGCTCTTTTTTTTCACAATTAAAAGAAAAAAAAAATAAAGAAAATTTTGTTTTCAAAGCATGACTTACATACAATTCTCTCATTTCCAGGCTTGCACACTGAACAATGAAATGTGAACTTGTGTTTTGAAAACAAATTAAATGCTCCAAGGTTCTGTTCCTAACATGACATTGCTATTATGAAGTTTTCTAATACTGCAACAGTACGAAAAATGCATTTGTGTCCATATCACACATGCTCACAAACAGGGGAGCCGCATTAATAGGTGACCATACAAAGAAAACTGACCAGTTTGTAGCACAGAGGAGGGAATCATGACCTCACAGAAAACAGCAGCACATTCCAATTGGTGTTGATACTGGGAATTGTATCCATTGTTTCAGCCATTGTGAAGAGTACAGCCAAAAGAAATAAGTATTTTCTAGCCTCTTTCAGAGATGAACATTTCTTGTACCACTTACAATTAAAAAAAAATTTAAGAGTGCATTAAAATCACCAGTGAAACTTAAGTTCTGTCCCATTTTTACAACTCAGATGATGATGGTGGGTGAAATGGACTTTTCTGTGAGTCCTGATTCACTCCCAGATATCCTGAAGAACACAGGAATGGTGCATTTTTACTGGAAAGTTGTGTATGTGTTTCTTTGCTCCCCTTCTTTTTGTGCAAATACGGACATGAGGAGGACTTTTTAGCAAGAGTATAAACCTTCACCCAGTTTGCAGGGAAGCCTTCAAAAACTAAAAAAATAGGCCAATTTAACCCACAGATACAGATACGCAATCACATGAATCAGGACTCGTGCTCATACCTATTTTAAATTATTCCCAAAGGATACATACTCTCTTTCTCATCCTCTGTACAACTTCTCTGAAGACAGTAATAGAGATCCTGGCTCTGCACGTCCAAAATACAGCCGTGAACACACCTCCTCCATTTACTGTAAGTTCAGGCATGCAATCTCATAAGCAGTTATGTCTTTAATGCCAGCATACAATGAGGAAAATATTTCTGCAACTGGTCCTAACACAAGGTGTTATCCCATAATACATAGTTGCTGCTTTTTCTACCCATGAGGCTTTCCTTTTCTTTATTAGATTAAGCTGAATACTGTAGACACATCCTCACTTCATGTCCTTCAGCAAAGGTGCCGAAGGCAAAAGTCACACTGATTTAAGACCTGAGACTGAATTAGTAATCCCAGTACTTCAGGAATTCATTTAGAAATGGAGGCTATGTGGTCTTTAAGGAAAAAAGAAAAAGGAACAAAACACACTGCATTCATGTTACATGTACTTCAGAAGGTCCTTTCTGCTCTTTATTTTTTCTTGAAGCTTACTTTACACTCTATAACCAACAGAGTAAACTAATTATCCCAAAGGATCCAAACCAAAGGATGAGATCGCTTATCCATTTTTTTATAAGTCCAAATGTATTAACCAGTGAATTGGTGTTGGAAAGTCTCAGGGACCCAATATCTGCCACAATTCCCAAAAGGAAAGGTAATATGATGCCTTTTCTTGTTGTGTCATATTTCAAGGTGAAGGCAACGCCAAAGTGGTTTGCTTAGCTTCTTGGCAGTACTTTCCAGCTTTTTCAAGGGAACATCACATAATCAAATTCTTGATTATTCACCAGTTATGGCCAGAAAACTGGGTGGAGATTTGGAGACTTCCCTGAAAACAATTAGCAGTAATAAAACAGTTATGAATAATATTTAATACCATATACCACTTGACTATAGGAACATGCTCAACTGAGGTGGCAATGCCAGGCTACCTTTCACACTCCCTCTCTGTACTGAGGCTGTGCACTTTCTTATCCATCTGCTGTCTGCAGCTTCCTGACTTCCCCAAAAGTTGAAGAAGTTTAACTCAAACACATATCGCAAAAAACAAAGACTGCAGGTTACTACTGGAAACAAAGCAAATGTTAATGTGTTTTCCCCAACAAAATGAACAAAGGAGTTACAGTTACATGAGCCAGCTCACATTCCCTACAAAATTCAGCACCCTACCCAAACCTTAGACCATCCTGGGTGCTTTGCTCCTACATTATCACTAGCACAGTGGGGCTGCTATTTCCCCACATGCATGTATTTCCAACAGACAGGAACTCACAATCTTATTCTATTCTCCTGTACGGATATATTCTGTATGAACAAGTGACTCTCTATTCATTATACACACCGCAGATCCCCCAGATACCTTCCCACTCCCACATGATGCAAGCCTTTGAAAGACTATAGCTGCTGCAAAGACATGAAACCCCAGTGCAGATGGCTCCCATCTGCAGACCATCTCATAGCATCCAGCAGCATTCCTGCCCCTTTCTTGAACAGAGTTCCTGTAAGGATGGTGCTAAGAAGCACCATGGAGAAGCATGTAGAAAATTTCCTGTCTGAGATCCCTTTATGGAGATTCCACCAAAACCCATGGATTATAAGATCCATGCACTAATTTATTTAAGCATTTCAATATAGCTGAAATTGTAAAAATTACTTTATACCAAGTTCTGCTTTGGAGTCCAAATCCTGGGGTATACAAAAGAGCTAGGTACATCCCAGATAGAAAGCTGGACCTCCATCACAAAGCCAGGTGCAGACGCTCATGAAGCAGCCATAATGCAGGGCACAAAGAATAATTTTTTTTTTCCCTCCAGTAAACCCATGTCTTCCACAGACAAACAAAGAAGGCCATCAGCTACTAGGATACACCAAGGTATGTCCAGCTCTGTATTTCTGCATGACTGGAGTCTTCTTGTGTATTGCTGCACTCAGTATATGGCTTATAAAATATTTCTGTAATGGCAGCAGGACATTTATGAAAATGCTGTTCATCTCAAAGCACAGCAAACCATGCAGCAGTGAGCACTGAAGGCAGTATGTTGTGTCGAAGATCTGCAAGGAGAATTATGTTTTCAACATACTACTTGCACTAAGCCACCTTCTTGAGGACTCCAGTCAACCCCCGTGTACACAAAAGATTTTTCTTGCTTGAAGCAGCCTATGTTTGCAAGAACATGGCTGTAGCATCTAATGCCACATACCAGGCAGGCTGGGAAAGCAGTCTTTGCCCTGAGGCCATGAGGTGGAAGGGCTGTAGGAAGGCAAACACTAAGAACTGCTCTCTTCATATTTACACACATGTGAGAAATATAAAACCCAGATGTATTTCAGTTACATGAAATCAAATCTTGACTTTTTAAACAAGTCTCTGATACATCAACTCTTTGCCCATTTGGATGACATGTAAAGTCATTCATTACATGAACTGCAAGAGACAATCCACTCCAAAGTTATTCATGCAGTAATATGATTCATCTTTAGTGTAGCCACGATATAACTGGATGTGAATCAAAAAGAGCTTCACTCTGCAAAAAACATACAAAGAAATATGTTATGGCATTGAGGAAACATGGAAAATCAAACATACTCGTTTCACTGGAGGAATCATTCATATTACTGAAAAAGACTTACAGTATTAGGCTAAATAATCAAGACTTCATTTCCCAAGGGAAGAAATAGCAACCAGCTCTTTCGTCATTTTTGGATGGAGATGCTTGCTGAGGTTTATACCTGCACAAGAGTATTAAAAGCACAGCACACAGTGCCACCATAAACCAGCAAGTCTATAATACTACTTCTTTTTAAAAAGCACAGCATTTTAGAAAGCATAATTCCGAATTCTAAGTGCCGTGTATAAACGCAACTTTGCATTTTACCAGCCCTTCTCTTCGATCTATATTTCACCGAGACATAACTGAATGTATAGAACGCTACAAACGTGGTATAAAACTACCAACTGTCCTCCTCAAATAAAAGGCGAAGCTCGCAATTACACGACTTTGGCAAAGCGTTCTGTAAAATTACTAATTAACTACGATCCCTCGATCGGATTACGCAGAAGTGCTTTTCTTCCTCTAGAGCCGCGCCTGCTTCTTTTTAAATCAAGTTCCGCTACAGAGGGTGGGAAAACCGCACAAACACGCGAGCATGTGAGCATGGAGCGGCGGGCACCGCCTGGAAGAAACGCTGTTTCGGAGGTAGCCAGGGCGCAGCGCGGCTTTCGGCACGCCCGGACCCCCTCCCCGCGGCCGGCGGCAGCGGCGCTGGGGACACGCAGGGGAAACAAAGCGGCCCCTGCCGCCGCGCCTCCCGACCCTCTGCCGCCGGGACTGCCGCGCTCCGCCGCCCCGGTGTGGGCTCTGGCAGCAGGGTCGCACCGTGCCCGTCCCCGCCCTGCGGAAGGAGGGCCGGGCGGGGGGGCGCGGGGGGCTCTGCCCGCAGCACCGCACCGCTCCGCGCCGCCGCAGCGCCACTCACCGCGCCGCCCGTGCCCCGCCGAGCCGCGCCGAGCGGTGTGCGGGCGCGTCGCGGCGGCCGCAGGTGCCGCGGAGGAGGTAGCGGGGGCGGGCGGCGCTGGCGGGAGCCAACCGGGGCCCGTCGCGGCGCCGTGAGTCACCAGCGGGCGCGCAGGGCGGCCGGGCGGCTGCTATAAGAGCGCCGCGGGGACGGCCTTCCCCCCTCGTGCATGTCTCCGGCTGCCGCCTCTGCTCCTCGGCTCTCCGCCCGCAGCTCCTGCCTGCCCGCGCACCCCGTCCCCGGCGCGGCGATGTGGCTGGACCGGCAGCACGGAGACCCGAGCGCCTCAGCCGACAGACGCAGCGCGGGGCGGCGGGCGGTCCCCCGCTGCTGGGCGCTGCTGCTGCTGCTCGCCCTCGGCTGCCTGCGCGCCGCCGCCGACGGTGAGTGCGGGGCTGGGGAGCGGGCTGGGGCGCGCATCGCCGGGGCACCTCCCGCCGCTGCCCGCCGCGGCGATTTCGTCTCCTACCACCCTGTCGTTTTGCCTCGCTCTCATTATTTTCTCCCGCTCTTTCGGGCTGCCGGCCCGCTGTCCCAGGGGGAGCGGGGCGGGCCCGGGCTCCCGGGTGAGCAGGGGGCGCTGCCGCCGCGCCGGCCCCGCCGCCCCCCGTGCCGGGCCAGGCGCCGCCTTTCCCCCGGGGCCCCGGGCGGCGGGAGCTGTGAGGGGGGACCGAGCCCCGGGAGTCACCCGCCTGCTGCGGGAGGGGCCCGGCTTCCTGATCGATGCTAAGGGGGAGGGTCTGAGGGCTGGGGCTAACGCGGAGGGTCGGAAAGGATTGGGGCTCTCTTGTGGGGGTGGAAAGAGGAGCGCTTGGGAAGCTCGCGGCGCTAAAGGTGCTGTCAAACTGCGGTACAACTTAGGCTTTGTGTTACCCAGCGGTGTTGGCATGGCTCTAGTTCAGGGTCCGGGGTAGCCAGCGTGCGGGATCTCCACCTGGTGGCCAGGCTGAGTCCTGCCGGCGCTGGGTCTCCGCTGCCGGGGCCGCGCTCGCCAGTAGCGCTGCTCGCGGCCAGCTCCAGGGCTGCCTCCCGGCGTACAAGCTGTTGCCCCTATTGGCAGGGGTCCTGCACACTGAGCCAGTCGGATGGTCATTTAAAAATATTTTACTCTTAAGTTGAGGTAATAATCATTTGTCTGCCTCCTTTCTTCTTGAGAAGCTGAGCTCCAGCCTGCTCTCCCAGGTAGGAGGTGGTCAGTTGAGGTCTGCATTGTCGTATGGCTCTTAAATCTCCTGACTATTGTTCTAAAGGCCTAAGTGTCTGATCTTGGCGGTGTTTCCTATAACAGTGTGGAATAGTTCAGACACCAGGTATGTCGGGTTGACCCCTGCCAGCATGTTGTTGTTTGTATCCAGTCCTCATACAAAGAGAGAGAGAAGAAACGTCTGCCTGGTCACCTCTCATCTCCCAGTCACGTAGGTTACTCCCATGCCTAGTCCACAACTGACATGGTTAAACAGCTGTGGAATGAAGGACCAAGCTGGCTGGCAGTGAAGCTGCTACTGTCCTGTGCTCAGGAATCGTCACAAGAGATACGCAGTGGAGGGTAATTAGTAGGCTAGCTAGCCAAGTTACTCTGATTGTTCCTTCAATTTGAGTTAGTTCTCTTCTGCTAGTAGTTGCAATTGCCGGGGTCTGGGAGAAGTCTAAGCTAATTCTGTGTGAGCTCTCACAATGTTTCTCAATCACGGTTGGAAGCTTTTCTGGGACTTGGTGTCAGATGACAGTACACAAGTGTCACATGTTTGAAGCTGCCCAGACAAGTAATCTGGCAACTTGCTTAAGGGGCTGAGACTAACAGTGATAGCAGAGATACAGAGAAAGGTAGTTTAACTTGGGTAGTCAGTCTAACTGTGCTCCTTCGCCCCACACCCATTGCTGCATATGGGCCAACTTCTAGTAAGCAGTTACCTAGGGAACAGTAAAATAATATCTTAACAATCACAGGCTCTGACGTATTCCAGAGAAAGAGAAAATGTGTGGAGGTGCTTCTACTCTGTTAAAAGCACTTAAAGGGAGGCTTTGAATTAGTAGCTAATTGATGCTGATCCAAAAATCATTAGGTGTCTAGTGACTGAAACTGCAACTTGGTATGACTCCATTGCTTCAAATAGCAGTGGATTAGACTGGTAGTATCTAATCTAACTAAATGGTTACATGACATAGAACGGTGCTTGGTGTAAAACAGGGGATCAGAGTTACTGACTGTAAGTAGCCATCTTAACTGGAGCTCATTTCAAGTGGTTGTTAGAGTCTGACAGACATCTTCAGGAGCACTAGCAGATGCTGACCTTTACCTTTGTGCACCTGTGTGGGTGTTAGGTCTTGTCGCTTTTTTTACTTGTTTGTGGGCTAAAAGTACTTGCTCTGACATTTCACTTGGTGTCAGCTGCAGAAGCAATGTCTGGTTGTTAGGATTGTAATTGTAAAGTTACAGCTGTTACTCCAAGCTCTGTGGTTTCAGTTATAGTTTCAGTTTGCGTGTAGCTTCCCTGTTGCATTTGGTCAAAATGATGTTTCATTTGTAAGTTACAATGCACTAGGCAGCCTTAGCAAGCCTTTTCCGGTTATTCTAGCTTGAAATAGATTAACTAAGGACCATGGAGTTATTTTGGGGTCTCCTTAGAGGCAGGCTTAGTCTAGTATCTCTGTATGCTATTTTGGGCAGGTTGACTGTTCTCACTCTGAGTGCCTAGATGAGAAAGTCCCAAAACTAGCAGGAATCGGTTGTTGCATATTTTATGTAGTAGTACAGTAAAACCTGAAATACATGACCAGGGCTCACAACTCTAACCTTCTTCTAGAGGTTTCTGGACAGCAAGGTATTAGGTTTAGAACAAGCTTCTAATTGTGGCATCTACTCCTACTGTTAGGTGGCTGTGGTGTGCTGTCTTGCACAAGACAAGCCAAATGATTGACAGACCATGACCAAGCAAGCAGTAGTAGTAGCTTTACAAAACCATGCTGTTAGAAAGCACATGCTGGTGTAATTCCCAACCAGAAAAGGAAACGGGAGTGGAAACAGTATACACAAGAGCTGGTGTTCTGATTTTTGATGCTTTTTGAACACACTTGCCATGAAAAATGTTGTTAGCTGTTCTAACAACTGGGTTACTGCTTTACTTCTCCAGTAAGGCAACTAAACATTAGCAGAACTCAGTAAGAAGCTGTTTCACATCTTGATCATGGATTTATAGAAGATATTCAGCAGATAGAATTGCTCTTATGTTATTCTTGATTATACTGTCCAGCATTTGTGAGTACCTCATGTGTGGTGGCTAGCCAATATAATGTAAAATGGCTGAGTACCTTCCTTCTGCTTGGAAACTGTCTTGCATTTTGCATGTCATACAGAGAGGATATAAAATATCCTAGAAAATAATTACTAAAATTTGGTGTCCTTTGAGCTCTGGAACACCAGGACAAAGCACCCTCACTAAATTATGCGATAAACCAAAAAGAATCAGGAGTCTTGCATCGTGCTTTAGGCATGTGCAGCCAATGCTGATGCACAGTCTTACACACTTGCCTGTGTGCATTAAGTGGAACAGCTCTGGCTTAGCTGCTGAAGATGCAGGCTGCTGCTTTTAGTGACAGTTAGAACAGGGTTTCCAAGACAAGGCATATTCCCTTGAGGCATGGGGTCATACAGTTATAGAGCTGAAGATACTCTGGAAAATGCACTCTAAGGATCTTGCAGAAAGCAGTACCTTACTCAAGCATACTAACAAATCAAGATTTACCAGTTGTGAAACAATGGACTTTCTTCCGGAAGGAAGTGCTAAATTACTTTGCTCTTTTAGCATCACACTTCTTATTAGTGTATAAGAATCTCTCTGGGTGCCACTGTTTGAGGAGTAACATAAAGCGTGAAAACTTGCTCAGCTACAAAGCAGTTATCTAAGCTACCTTTAGAGATGTCTTGGGGATTCTGCTGTAATGTGTTAGCAGCAGAGCATTGAAATGCTAATCCAGCTTGGCATTAATCAAATGTAAACCCAGTTTGCTTAAAGTTTGAAGAGTTTTGAGAATACGATGCTAGATGCAAGGCAGCAGAAGTAATTATGGGCACACATTTTTCAAGTGTTCACCCTGTCTTCAAGAAGAAAACAGTAAGAATAGCACTGAGACGGTTTGCTGCTGTTTGGCAGGTGGACAGTTGTGGTGCTTAAACTCTGCACTTGTACTGTGAAGGAAAGCTTTTGGCTCTCCTTTCATGATTGAATAAGGTGATTGCAAAATTTGGAGCCCAGATCTGGTTTCATGTTGATGTTATGCTCTTTATTAGGCTGCGTAGCTTCTTGATCAGTGGGGAAACTGAAAAGTTATTGCTTAACAGTATCAAGGCTTAGGTTCTTTTTTTCATTGAAGGTGCAAGAGCAAAATGTGAAGAATCCCAGTTTGCCTGTGGTAATGGACGTTGTATTCCTCAAATATGGAAATGTGATGGTGATGAAGACTGTTCAGATGGCAGTGATGAAAGTGCTTGTGGTAAGTAATCAATATAATACCTCTGTAGTAGTGCATGCTAGTTGGAAGTGGGGACTTAACTCTGGATAGCTGGAGAGATGCATGTCCTGTCCAGCACTTCTGGTAGTCAGACTTCAAAGACAAATTCCTTAGAATAACCACTTCTGATTCCTTGTATCCATCTGAGGCAATTGAATTTTCCTGAGTGTTATCT